TATATATATATATATATATCAGAGTAATACTTGAAACAGTTCTTTTTATTGGACATAACCTGCCAGCATAAACCACAGTTTCTCTTTTGACTTACAAAAGTATCAAGTTTTTTGCCTTGGTTTTTCAGGGGTGGGGTGTTTGGGGGTTTTTTTTGCAGCTCAACAGTTTAGCAGTCCTGAACTTCTATGGAATGTCCAGTCCCTTGGTAGTCACCTACATCATTAACACTTTGAGAGTCTTAAAGGTAGCAACAAAGATTATACCTCTTGGCACTCACCAGCACCCCCAAACGGTCAATTCTGAACTTTTTCACCGTGTCCTCCACATACCCATCTGTTAATTTAAAAACTTCAGCAGAAGACACAAAAGCAGAGGAGAGTTAAATGAAGTGCAACAGCCGCAGCTGACAAGGATAGTTAAAAACCTCGCAGCTCTGTTCAGACTGCCTCTGACAGGACCTGAGCGATACACGCCAAGAGAATGAGATACAACACTGATCAGGGTGACAAACCAACAGTGATTGTCCCAAGACTAGCTGCCAAGGAAAATACCACATATCCAAACAAAGCGGTAACAACCAAGGATTAATAAATTCAACGAAGTTTCTGTTAATATTGACTGTACTTCTTACAATAACTTAGTCTGATAAACAAGAAAAAAAAGATGACAGCAAAAGATAATTAGTACAGGTAAAAAATGGCAGCACATATATACAAAAATCATTTCTGTATACCTTTTTAATATTTTCCCAATTCTACTTATAGCTTTCTACTGTTAAGACTAAAAATAACAGGTTCATATTTATATTTTAAAATGTTTAAGGTGTTTTTAAATGACATCTGCCACCATGATGACTTCACGTTTCATACACCTATGAAAAAGAGACCACTGAAATGACTCTTAATAGGTGGCTATCCACTCACAACTGCGTATGTTTTTTAAAAAAATACTAAAAATGTTAACTTTAACTAGTTAGGCACAACATTGGATGACATTCATTACAAAAATCATTCTAATAAGAATACACTACTGTTTTAGCAAAAAAGAGAGTAAGGAGTATACCTACAAGGAACGGGTGCCAGCAGATGTGCCCCAGACTAATCAAAGTCTATACTGGCAGTGCTATAAACCAGAGGTCTTCTGAAGGCCAACAGTTCTGCATAGGATAATTCTAGGAATGCAGTCGGTCATTATTTCCACCAGGTCAGTTCTCCAATGACACGTTTGCGTTGCTAAATAATAAATTAGTTCCTTATGTGCAACAAGTACGTCTATGTGCACGTGCAAACAACTCCATTTATTGTACAAATTCTAGCTCCCAGAATATTTCAAGTGTTAACTGTAACTGAAATACATGCCAATAATTTCCTCAGACATGCCCAGTTAGAAATCTATTTTGCATGACAAATTTAACTCCTTACTATGTGCTTGAACACAGTTAGAAAAAAGAATTTTAGTTAAAACATCAGAAAAAAAAAATCTGTTAGTGTTAGTGATCAAGAAAATGAAGTGAACCTTAGTCTACTACTAAAGAAAAAGTGAGCCAAGCAAAATTTATTACAGTTGTTATTATTTGAAACCACAGCCACTCCACTCTTGAATGAGAAGTTTAAAAACATGAAATCTTAACTTCCACAACAGAACAGAACCATCCAATTAGACATTGTCTCCTATCTATAGACTAATTCATTCCATTGAATATAAACTATCAGCTTTATAGACCTTTGTGTGTTACAAAGATGAATGTTAATGTGGTTTTGTATGGGTAATTCATGTCTGAGGAGTAAAGTGCAAGAGGCAAGTGGAATTTAAGGACGTAAGTGGGCCAATATTCCTTCAGTGCATTCCTTACATATGCAAGTAATGAAACTTCTGCGGTTATAATCCAAACAATCTTCTGCACTGATATTACACAGCTAGGAATTTTTATAGCTGACCAGCAAATACTTCCAATACATTGCTTATTTATCCTACTTTTTTTTTTTTTGGTGGGGGGAGAGGGAAGCTGTTGTTTAATTTTGTGGATTTAACAGGATTCTGCAAATATTTTTTATTTTTTGTTGACATTTCCCACTTGCACAAATTAGTTGTACACTGTTTTCTGCAAAGAACTCACATGCACACTCCTTCATCGATCACATCTCCAGTAGGATACTGTACCAGAAATCTACACCTGGTACAGATATGCTATGTCTGCAAACATGATTTTTTAATATAAATATATTAAAAATGTCCCTTATGAGCCAAACGCTACAACAAAAGAAGTGGAGTTCTATTATAAGTCCATCTGCCCAGAATTCTCTCCTGGCATGGAAACCCCAGTCAAGGACCATGACTTCACATGCCTAACCATCACATCTACACAAGAGAAACATTTTTTGCAGAAACCTTCTGTAAGATTTGCTGCTTGTTTGCGTCGAACTCTTCAGCTCACAACCCCCCAGCTTCTCTACACCCAACACTGCAAAAGCTCTGACCCTACACAGGAGTTTCAGGCTGCAGCTGCCACACTGCTGCCAGTATTCTAACTTGGGTATAAAAGCCTGACTAGAATTAACCAGCCTCACTAGAATTAACCAACCTATCCTAACCTCACAGAAAAACAACAGGCAAAAAAGAGCCACAGCCTGGAGAGACAGACACAGGGAAGAGCCAAGGGATGGATGATTCACAGGCTAAAAAAGGGTCAAAGTGACAGAGGCTGGCCAAGAGACTAGTTTCTCAGGCTCTATGTCAAGTTGGAGGGCTTTATTTTGCAGAATACAAGAATTCTCCACAGTAAAATATATGCACATAACCAAATAATAAATAAAACAAAGTTAGTATCAAAAGTAACTTGACAAATACTGTAATACCTCCACATTGCTCTAGTAAATGAACTCTGTGTGCTACATAGCTGAATGGGGGGGTGGGGGAGAATTTTTTTTTAAAAAAACAATAAACCTTTAAAAAAACCAGTTCACTTGTGAGCACCTGCAATGCATAACAAGTTCTCTTCAACAGAGGACCATAATCCTGCCAGGGCCTGATCCTTAAGCACATTTAAAGAAAAACATCTTCCACATCCGATAATGTACTTTTCCCCATGTGTTTTCAATAGTAACAGACCAGAATGCACATTGTCTGACTCTGTCCTACAGCCATTCCCCATCAAAAAAGACAACAACTGATGCCAGCCAAGCACAATTGCCACAGTCAACGTAAAAATCCCCTCAACTTTAACACATGCAAATCATAGTATAATCCACTGTATGTGCACTGTAATTCTAGAAATAGTATGTCATTCTCTAGAATTCCTACAGCATTCAATGAAAACCTGACTAGCACCTTCTGCATCACAAAAGGCCCTTTCTGTTAGCAGCCCAGGTGTTAAAATAGCCTTAAGCAGAGTTAACAGAAATGAATTGCTAAATTGCAGACAATACCTGAAAGGAACATGTTTATAAACTAAGTTGTCCTGCGGTGGAGAAGATGCAATTGCTGTCTCAGCAGAGAATTCTCAGTAAGTTCAAATGCAAGTAAATGTTATTTTACTGAGATTATTTGTGTAAAACAAAAAAAATACAACATACGTGCACAAAAATCCTATCAAATCTTGCATGATGTGCAAAATACCAGAACTCTAGGTTTTTGTAGACACCCACTGTTTACAATTCCTTCCCTACCATGTTGTCTTTTATCTCTATTTTTATTTTGTGCCTACTGCTCTTTCCTACAGAACTTGACCTTTCTAAAGAACACTAGCAGTACCGCCTTCCCTTCTTGCCTTTCAAAGTGTAAAGCTCAACTACAAAAGGGGTAATATACCACATTAGTTATCTGGCATACAGAGTATTTAAAAAATTATATGTCATAAGGAGGTATGTTGTAGGAAGCTTATTTTTAAAAGACCTGCTATTTCAGATCCTTGTAATACTCTGGTTTTCTGTTTGCTGTTTGTTTTTTAAAATAACACTTGCTCTCAACACGAAGGATGGAACAAATGTCTCTCTTGACACTTCCCTAATACTGCAAGGGGATGACAGCGAAAACAACGTACTACCAACAAAGGATACAAGTAAGTTACTTGATATGAATACTCTCACTTTGAAGCTCTCCAAAAGAATATCTTTTAATGTGAAAATGTACTATACAAAGGATGACAAGGGGTAAAGAATTAATCTTTCCATTTATTAATATCTTCCATATCTCCTGTGGAAAGTCTAACTTCTGATGCAGCAGGCTGAAACAATTTAAAGGATCCTCAGGTAAACTCCAAATACATAACGTACAGCTTATAAGAATGTGTAGAGATTATCAGTCATATCTGCTGTAGAGATGTACCCAAGTTAAATAAGTTAGGCAAGTCAGCCAAGAAAAACAAAATACATATCCCAATGAGTTCCACTTTTTAACAGAGTAATGACAAAATATGATGTGCTTAAATTATTTAACTAGATTTCTTCGAAGAACTGGCTGTTCTCACAATTTACATCTGATGATCAATCAGGAAGGTCAATGGTTAAAATACATCAAGAACACTCTTCACTAGCCTAAGCTTCCTACAGGCTCTGAGGTGTATTGTCCAGATCTCACCTAATGAGCCACAACGATTTCTAAATGTGAAAGGAACAATGTTTTTTGTCTGCCGAACAGAACATTAAAAAAAAGACACACATATTTTGGGTGTATCTGTGATCTAAATTTAAAAAAACCCAAAAACCTGATGATCCAGCAGACCACTGGAGTTTCAATCTCCACCAAGGTTTTGATCAAGGTTAGTTATTGCCAAACAGCATCTGTCAACAAGCCCCTATCGAAAGCATAAGAAATCTGTAAGAACACCAGAGCTTCTAGTCACAGACAAGCATAAAAACTGCTGCCTTTTAAACAGCAACAACAGTGTTTCACAATCATTTCCCATTTCCTACCCTAGCATAGGACAAACAAGACACTAAATCAAAAAAGGCAAATGGGCAGAACTCTGAAGTCTAACAAATTGCAATATTTGCAATGCTAAAGCTCAAAACCCCAATTCCTTTCTCTACAGTACCTCCTAAAAAAAATATTACTCTATTTATTATACGTACTGGGTTGGCTTCCCAGTATTGACTGGCTACTTCTGTAACTCTTCATTGGTTGTGGAAGATCCTATTTTGCTATGCAGAAATAAACTACCCAGCAGTAGTCACTACTGTCACTACTGTCTGTACTACAGACACACCAACTCAGAAGCTAAACAAAAATCTCACAATATAGAAAACACAGTAGATCAGACAGTGCTGGTGATGAAACTGGGTTGAAAGCCATATTCATTATATGTATTTTAATATTGCTGTCATACAGGACTAATGCAAAGCAGTAATTACTAATACTCTACTAATGTTTATGAGGAATGGGACAAGTCATAATGGACTTAAATTGCACTAAAGAAGATACAGAGTTTCTCTCAGTGCTCAAAAACAGCTATAAAAAAAAATTGCAGTAAGAAAACGGGAACAGATTGCCTAAAGTAATTATTTAATCATCATTGCTGGAGTTTTTATAAACAGGATTAGACAAAACAGTAGGTAGGAGTAACACAGAGTATACGTGACCCTGCCAGAAATGCTCCAATGCAATTCCAGTATGAAATGTGTGCACTGCCAGATGTTTCTCTTGCAAGGATTTCTCTTTTCAAAAGAATGGTTTTAAAGATTACATTTAACATGGCCACAAAGTTGCAGTTGTCATATTCAAAATAAGCCAATTAAAGAATGAAACTGAATTAAGATCAATTAATAGCATTTCAAGATATGCTCAGATAAGAGCAGAGAATACACCCAGGGAAATTGTGCACAATAAAAAGAACACAAAACAAAAAAGTTCAGAACATTAAATCTTTTCAGAACTTGATGTGAATATAATTTTTTTAAAAACGTAATGATGGGAAATTGTAGAAGTTACTAGATAAAATTCTATTTTGAATATTCAAGTTTAAGCTAGTTGAATAACTTTTAACTGTCTACTCAAAATAATCTGCTTTCAGATTTACCTACTTGTCTGCTCTGTGTATGTTTAAGCGGATCAGTGTACTGTGAGGAAATAGACATCGAAGCTGTACCCCCCCTGCCAAAGGAAACAGCCTATCTTTATGCACGATTTAACAAAATAAAAAGGATAGCGGTCTCGGATTTTGCTGACATTAGTAAGTAATGTTCAAATTTTAATTTCTGTTTACCTGATAGTGTATTTGAAGCTGTTGCCCCTTAGAAGTACGCCAAGATTATTGAAATAGGATATATTTTATACTTCACTAGATTTCATTATGTGTACCACTTATTTAATTCAATCCTTGTATTAGAAAAGGAACTGTGGAGGCAATTTGGGAACTCATTTTGGCCCATGTACCCATCTTAATATTCCAACACAGTCAGAGAAAGAGCAGATAACTAAAACCAAAATTTCACACTGCATCCTAGCCAGTCTTGAAAAATTGTGTAATCTTTTCCTTCAAATGCTCCAGGGAAATCTCTCCCAGTTATCTCACTCTATAACATGACAAATTCTTCAATATCTGTAATTTTGTTGTCTCTAAGAAAAAATTAAGGATCCAGAGTTTTGGGTTTGTTTTCTTTTTTTTAAGACCACGAGGAAATCAAATTGGGATTTTACTCATATTTTAATAGTATTTACACAATTACAACAGGTGCAGCCAAGAGTGTAACATTCAACATATACAACCATACATGTTTCACCTGCCATGTAATTATTCAATATTTAGCTTTCCATTTCTTTTGTGTAAAGCTACCTTGAGAAGAATTGATTTTAGTGGAAACAGAATAGAAGAAATAGAAGATGGAGCCTTTTCAAAGCTTCTGTTATTGGAAGAACTTTCTCTTGCTGAAAATCGACTTCTAAAACTTCCTGTTCTACCTCCCAAACTAACAACATTTAATGCAAACCAAAATAGAATCAAGAGCAGAGGAATCAAAGCAAATGCCTTCAAGGTAAGTAAGGGACAATCTTTTAGGTAACTGAAGTAAATAAAATTAGTAACCAGACAACCCAGTATATCACCAAATGATTTTTTTTCTTTATCGTAGTAATGTAAGAAACTAACTACAACGATGGAGCTTTCCCAGGTGTTTTTGTTTGTTTTTAAGGTACTTTGGAGTAACAGTCCTTTGCACACTCTCTCTCTCATGTCATTCATATAAAAAAAATTTCTACAAAATACCTTACCTACTTTCTGTCTCTCTTACATGCAAAGAAACACTCGATTCAAAAATGATGCCTCAAATACAGTTCTGAGGACCACGTAAATACTAATAAACAAGGATATAGCTTTATAGTGGTCTCAACTTTTATAATCAATACCTGACACTGAAATTTCCAAAACATAGAAGGCCTGTTCTAGGAGTTTCTTGATACAACAGAATTCAACATTCGCAGCAAAAGAATGTTTCATGTTAGAATACTTCACATGTTTTCTATGTGATCAGAAAAAATACTGATGTCTTGTAACTTGTACCGCAAGTAAGTTGTATCAGCATTAATAATCTCTCTTTCTTTCTATTAGAGGCTGACAAATTTGGCCTACCTCTACTTAGGCCACAATGCACTGGAATCTGTTCCCCTTAACTTACCAGAAAGTCTGCGTATTCTTCACCTCCAGGTATTTTTGAAGTATTTCCTTAACATTCTATTACAAAGAGGCTCACTAGTCCCATACTTCAAACTGAACACACTGTCTTTTAAAACAGTTCGTACTGCTGTTGTGCTCCAGTTGTCTAATGCTCCTCCAAATAAAATAATTTACCTCTAATCTGTATGGCCACAACCATTTGGTGTTCAGAAGTTGTTTGTTAGCTTATTACTGTGCAAGAATTTCTCATTAGTTTCTGTATATCAAGGATAGGAAATGGTAAAAATAAGCAATAATCTTTTACCAAGAACACATTTCAAACATCAATAACCTCAAACTGCTTATCAGCTTGTTGATTGGTTTGAAGAGACTTGATTCTACATATCTATAGTCTCCAGAAATCAATCCCAATGACAATGAAATGGGAGAGCAAGAGGAATAAAATTAAAGTTTGAAAATTCTTCAACTTATATGGGTGTATGTATACATATGTGTGTGTGCATGTATTTATTTATAAATAATTGTTTTGTTTTGCAGTACAACAATATTACCACAATCACCGATGACACTTTCTGCAAATCTAATAACACCCGTTACATCCGCACGCGTATGGATGAGATAAGGATGGAAGGCAACCCAATCCTCTTGGCAAAGCACGTTAATGCTTTTTCCTGCTTGAGAACACTGCCTGTAGGAACATACTACTAGCCACTACTTATGTAATTATACCTGCCAAAACCTAAACATGGTAACAAAAGATCATTTTTTTTTCCTCTGTTTACACATTTATATCCTCTCCCTTACTAACACCATTCTCCCTGCATACCTTTTACCTTCCCAGAACCTTTAATATGTTGAAATGTGATTCTCTTCTGAAATACCTAGTTCAAAACAGCCACTTTATTTAGCAGCTACAATGTCACCCATGCTTCCACAATTGTTTCTGTTAATGGAAGTGTAAAAATACATATATGCACACACAGACCTCAACTTTTATTTTACCACATACATTTTACGTGTAGGTAAAAATCACACAAGTAACTGCTTGTTCACATTCCTTACCAGTAACCAGAACAAACACTACATATTAATTTGTGATAAATGTAAAATATTCTTTTGAGCAAGCTACAGAGGAAAAATACATCTTAATTTCAATCACATTTTTTAAATCTGAAATGAAGCTTTTTTCAGTTGACCTTCAGAAGTGTATTGGGTGAAACTGTATACAAAAGTTAAGAAATAGAACTTCTCAAAGCTTAACTTCATTAAAGCTTTCTTTAAAACTTGGTTTGTGGAAAATGAGAATAATTCCTATTTAGGCTTATTGTACCAAGCAACAGAGCAAGTGGAACTTTTCAAAGATGTGTTAAATCTCCTTCTATACTATTTTGCTTTCAAAATAATCTAAGAGTGTGTGTGCGAATATATATATGTTTTATTTTTACACAAGGTATTTTTAATTGAAATATATACATTTTGCTCAGCTGTACTCACAAGAGCCGTTTTTGCAACACTAGTTTCCCATCTTAACACAATGGCCAAAGTACAGCATAGCACGATTCCAAGTATCTTTGTTATTAACAGATTAGACTGAGCCTTGTCCCACTGCTTTTTCTTGACAAGGAAATGTGACAATGTAATTAACAGCAAAGCTGAATTAATGTTTTAACTTGTAAATAAATAAGTTTTCAGCTAGAAGTCAGTGCAAAGAAACAGAAGTACCATTGTACCACAATACTTTTGCTTAAATCAGATCTTTAAATTGAAAAGTTGATTCTGTCATTAATCTAAAAATAGTGTTAACTTCTAGCAAATTAAACTAGCATCACTTCACTCAGCTACTTTAAATCATGCAGTGTATTAAATACACAAATTGATGTTTGCAGGCCTCAGCAGTCAGTTCACATAAACTAGACATAATTGGTACAGGACACAATGGTTTTTAATTACACAACTATACATTTCTGACATTTTATTTTAAGTTACTCCCCACAAATACCTACCACAGGTGTAAACTCTTCAGATAAATTAATGCCAAAAGTGTGCTAGTTACTATTACCAGATCAACTTCATACTAATATTGAAGCTAGTCTAGATTCCTAATTTGTAGAAATAGTTTAGCATCAAATGCATGATGTCGTATCACTACATCTAGAGTACTGATTTTACAAGATATTTTGTATTACTTTCATTTATCTTATTTAGCTAAACCTTGATTTGTTAGTGCTTGTGCTATGGGGAATTAAGTGTAAACTTAATTTGGGACATAGTGATGCTCCACCACTGCGAGTGTTGAGACCTGAGTGATTTTCAGTCACTTTTTAAGTGATTATGTCAAGCACCAACTGGGTGTTCATCCTTCTGGAAAGAGGATACAATTATGAAACATAGGACAAAATTTTTTTTGCCCTGAACCCATCACCCAAGAAAGACATAGCAACTCCCAGTATTTTCCATTTTAAGTTATTTTGTATGACAAGAAAGAAATTCCATTGTCTTAATGCAATTGAGAACAAAACCAAGTCCGACAGTGAGATGTCACTGACCTTTTCCTGAACACCTGGAAAGTTTTATGTTTCCAGGTGTTTAGGAAAAGGTAAATATAACCCCAAAGCATGTAAAAATACATTCTGACTTCAAGCCAAATTTATACTAAGCAAAAATGAAAGCCACCAGTTCTCTCATACCTCATTTGATAAATGCCTAAAAAGGAGAAAATACAGCTAGAAGTGCACGTGTAATAACACTGCATAGCAGTGGCCTCTGATCTTATCCTCATCACAAATCCCTGTTATAAAATAAAGCTCTTTCCAGTATTAATAGGATCAGTAGATACCACCAAAACTCTTCTTATGAAAACAATTTGTGTATACACAAATATATGCACATTTATGTAAGATATACACATGTAAACGTACTAAGACCTAACCACTACCACATTATTGATTTTACATTAAAATGTTGTACATATCTTTGAAAAAGTACTAAATATCAACCATAACACTAATTAATGCTCTTAATATTTTGTGAGCAAATCAAAGTAGACAACTTATACCTTCTGAATGCTTTGTGCAGGCGATAAATTATCTGTTATGTTTTAATTTACTTTCCTCATTCATAGCAAGTTAACTCATCAAAACATTAAGTGAGAAGGGCTTCAGTATGCAGGATTTTTTGCCTTCTATTTGTGTGACCAGTACTAATATTAAGCTGAATGTACACCATTCTGTTTTTTTCCTGTCATTCATTTCTGTATTTCAAATAAAACTTGTTGGTTTTTTTCTTGTTTATCAATATCAGCTTCAACAATCTGCTCTTCCAGCAATGCAAACATAACTTCAGTTGTTCAGCCTCATAGCTGAATAAGGGTGCATCTAGATCAGAAAATTATTTGCAAATGTAAATCCATTTTGCAGACAAAATATTTATTGTGGCAATATAGTAAGAGCTGCTGTACAAGGAATGGCATACAATAGACTTGTGGGACACTTCACTCATCCCTTCAAAATCTACTTAAAGCACTACCATGTAGATTTTTTCAGTAGAATAGAGGAGCAGCAGCAGAGGATAGTAACAGGATGCTCAGTTCTTGATTGTGTGTTGCATGAAGCAATCAAAGTTGTAGACTAACCTGTTTCAGTAAAAACCCACAACTGCCAAAGCACAATATCGGGGAGTATATGAAGCAGAGCACAAAATGCTTACAACTGAACATTGCTCCACTCACAACAACCTAAGCCTGCCCCTGCTTTCTAGGAAAGCCTGCTCACAGTCAAATTAATGTATATTTCAAACTGCTTTTTTGCAATTTTATCCATCCCACCATTACTCATTAACTGGGAAAACTCTCACTACAAAACTGCCATACTTGATGGTCAACTTTTTAGAAATACAGCGCTGTCCAGCTTGGCTTGAAATCTGCGATTGTTGTTCACCTCAAACATTCATTATTTCAAGTATTCCATCATTTCTACATTATTCCTTTCTTCTCAAGTACCAAAATAAACAAAAAAGAAAAAGTAATCCACTTTTCCTGTTTTGACTGTAAGAAAACTATGAGAAGCACTGTCTATTTCTACTTAACAGCTTGGGTCATTTTCTTTTAAATAACAAAATAACAGAAAAGCTATAAAACCAAAATCCCACTCTAAATAGTCTCCTCTCCTGTGCACAGTTAC